TTTTTTTTTCAATCAACATATATTTTTATTTCAAACGGTAATTTTTCCATATTTTTTCACTTGAAAAGCTCAGGATTTCTTGATATATGTTTACTGGTACAACATAAACATAATTTTTAAATATAAATTTGATTCCATTCTTATGACTTTTTATATATGTGTCCCTAACCATTGATTTACTTGTAAACATCGGTAAAATTTGGGAGTGATTAGCAAAAAAAAAAAACCTCCCTCCCTCATCAGTTTTTATTCTTTGATAAGGTGATAAACTAATAATTTTTTTATAGCGCTTATAAGTATTATGTTTATTGATTGTGTATTATTTTTTTTCTTTTATTGCTCTTGCTGTTGCCTTGCATTCTGAATTATTGCTATTGTAATGATATCTTTATCTTTTTCATATCTAATTTTTTACATTTGTTTGTTGAGGATTAATGATGAGCTGCACGGGTCATCCTCATTAAATGAAGTTCAAATAAAGAAATAACTATTCTAGCAATGTGTTGAATTGAGGTTGAATTTACCACCCTATTACGGGCGTAAGCTTAATATACAGACTATGCTTATGCCTATCCTGCACAGATTGGCATAAGCATTATTGACAGATTATGATACATAGAGTCGAAAACATATAGAATTACAAAAATATTAAAAATAAATTTTAAAATATTTGCATTTCCCAGTTTTTAAACATATTTAAAATCTGTATCTCATTAACTGCAAATCTCACATAATATTATTTATTTTTTCTAGGGTTGCTTGCTGTTGGTTGTATATTATGACTATGAACAAGCCTGTCAACTCCATTGCTGATGACCTTTCAGGTTTGCGAACAGATTATCATGAATTGATGGAACAACTGCAAAGGAAACAGAGGACTCTCAGGTCAAAGTTCCCACAAAATGTCACAACAACAAGTCCAAAAAGAAGCAGACGAAGTGACAAGATATGGTACATATTCCACAGAAATAAAGTTATAAAAAACTTAAATCAAGTAATAAAGATAACAAATTATATTTATGTTGACTTTGGTGATAATAATACAGTACTATTTTTCTATGTAGTATGGAAAATCCAGGTGCAAAACGAATGAAGATTGTGGAAAACGAGAAGACCTTTGCATCCAGATCAAAGCAGAACATTCCTCTACAGACCCAGAAAACATCTACACCTTATAAATTCAGTAAGCATTCAAGAACAACCGCTAGAACTAATATGTCAAGCAGTCATATACAGGTTTCAACAAGTTTAAAGCGGAAACATGCTGGTGGAAGTTTTTTTAGCAACTTGACTGCTAGTGAAAATGACAAATTTATTATTGATGATGCAAACCGTAGGTCCAAGAAACCATACCCCACACCTTTAAGAGTCCATAACACTCATAAAATGTCTTTTACACAACAAAAACAGCAGCAAACGTCAACTCCAAAATCAATTATGAAAAAGAAAACTACCCATGTGAACACTTCTGCTTCAACCTCTGCATCATTACACAAATCGGAGAAGGAAAATATTGTGGGACTTAGAAGATCGACACGACTCTCACGTAGCCCTCATTTTCATTCAGATGCTTTGCGATCAGATTACCACAATGAAATGAGGAAGCGTAGAAGACTATCTGATGATGTCCTGAACAATTCTTACAAACAACAGCTAGATCATACTGGAAATAACCGACCTAAACATTTTCAAGCAACAGATGTAACACCAAGACCAAAATCCATATTAATGCAGAGTAGGAAATCAAAAAGGGTATGTTTTCTCCTCTGAAAATGACAAACATATCATAAAAAAATAATTTTGAAATTAACTTGCTCAATTTGCAGTAACGTACAGATTATTAAATTATAGAATGTATTTAATTTATAAAATGTGTACCCTGATTTTTATACATTGACTTTAAATACACTAATATCTATGTTCAAGTTGATAGTTTTCATGTTACTTCAAATTGAGCAAGTTAATTTAAAAAATGATTTTATGATTTATTGGTATTTTGCATTGACAATACATCTTAAAATTTAAAATCTTTGCAGCAGTATATATAAGTCGTAATGTATAAATGACCATGTTTATTATGATTAGTGTATCATGTTTTGATAAACGTACTTCCAAATATGTATAATATGAATTTGGTGTCATCTGACTGCCGATTGACATTTTGTGTTTCCTAAGTTTTGCTACTTAAAATAATCATTATTGACACGAAACTTGATAACGCTGAATAGTACAGTAATATAATTAGATGGTATTTATTATAACTCCTATTTTGAAGTATAAAACATTTGGTCAATGTATACAAGATCTGTTCTCAAACCAGTCAAGTTTATTTGATTTTCAAAACTTTTTCAGACACCAAATAGGGTAAACTTTTGTCTGCATGACACAACATTAGACCAATCACATCTTGACCGAAGTGGAAGAGTCCAACCATTGCTAGGCTATGATTGGATAGCTGGTTTGCTTGATGCAGAAGACACCATTTCAGAGAGGTCAGATGCTTTTTTTGATGAGTTGAAAGACTTCCGTAGAGTGAATAAGGAGGACTGCGTCTACAGACAAACTGATGAGAGGTAAAGAAAATGCATGAACAAAAAATATCAACAAAATGACTCGCAAGTAGATACAATTTGTGAAACTCGTTCATAAAGCATTTTTTTCTTAGAGTGAGTACTTCTCAAGCAGCACAATGTTGTAAGAGGCAATGCACCGTTAGGCCTGTTTTTTTCCCTGGTCACTGGATCTAAAATAGGAAAATGGGTACAAAATGCAATTTTGTCTGCTCCCTAGGAATTATACTACTGTAGTCATCCTACAATACATAATGTGCACAACCAATAGACCAATGCATGCATGCAATGCCACAACATCCTACCATGTACCCAATAATACCCCTGGGAGGAGAAAGACTGCCTGACCTAAAGACACAAGCAAAATTCACAGCAGGGGTTGAAAGTCCTTACCTCATAATTGAAGGTGTGATTTTAATATATCTTATAAATTACTTAGAAAATTGATTAATGGGACTTTGACTGTCCTGTACAACACCTCAATAGAGGGCGGTATTACAGATATTCAGTCAGAGCCGTAGATAGAGAGAGTTTGGCCAACTTGGCGCATGGGCGCCATGTTGTCACCAAACAGCGTGCGCGCGTATAGCTTTATAACATTTTATAAAACACTGATGCTGCATAAACTTTCTTTCATTATTCCTGTCTCTTATACACATCTAGATGTGTATAAGAGACTATCATATACTGTATAATCATATTTACCTAACTTTGGAATTAATTAATCAGTGACGTGCTGTATTATTTCGAGAAGATAAAGTGAGGACGATTCTTTATTTTTTTTCTCGTTACGATTACCTTTTTGTTTTGAAAGTCTACTATCATCTCTAGCTAGGCCTAGAGCGCCTATACCTACAGTAGTTGCTGGCAGCCTACTCTATATACCATGAGGCTCCTAAATAAGAGTCAACACTGCAGAGGAGAAAGGTTGGTTGTGCAGACAGAGTAGG